TGGTTACATCAAATAAATTGGCTGTCTTTTCTTCTATCGGAGGTAATTTTGTTATGGGTAAAGTATTGACACGAGTAATAGACCCTTTTTCTTTCTGAGAAAAACAAGGAGAATTAAATGGAATAAAAGTTCATTTTTTAAAGAATTGTAAACCTGTAGGGGTATACATGAATCCTCCGGTGAGTGAATTTATAAAGTTTAATCCTAAAATAAAATCGTAAGTACTAAGACTATTATTAACTACATAGATTTGTGGTAAAACAAATTTTTCATTATTAATTACTATAGGAACATTCTGGACACAATGACTTATTGGTAGTTTTTCATTATTATATTGACTAATATTAATATTAGAATTTAATTTTATTAATGCTTCCTCTGGTACTAAATGTCTTTTAATTATGCTTTTAGAAGCTCCAGTATCTAACATAACTGAAGTTTGGACTAATTTTTTCTTTAAATTCCAATGTTACAGGAAATTGGATTAAACTAAATGGTTTATATATTGAATTGATGGATTCAACTAATATATTAGCTAAGGTACTTTCATATTTTAGATAGCATTCTTGACATAACAAGGTTCTACAATGGTTTTTACAATAATATCCTTCCTTAATGGAGGAATTACATTATTTACAATTGTAGGTTGAGAAATGAAATTTAACTAACTCGTAATGACATGAAGAATTGCTTATAGTGCAAATATAATCTTCCATAGAATGAAGTCCTTATTCAAGATCTTCATCATCCTCGTTATCAATGCTTTCTATGCTATATATACTTTCATTATCATCATCGGAATCATAAACACTTTCTAGTTCATATAATTCTTCTATCTGTTCTTCAATATCTTCAAGTATATTGATTTTCTCTTGTATTTGCTTAATATAGTTTTGTTTATATCTATAAGGGAAATTTGGTCTTATATGATCTGGATCTCCACAAATAAAACATTTGCAGCTTCTTTCTTTTGTGGGTAATGTAGTCACTTTGTTATCTTTATTTTCCTTGTTATCTTTTTTATCCTTAATTATTTTTCGTTTTTTATGCAAAGGGCTCTTTCTAAATGGTTTAGGGTTGCTCTTAAAATTCTTAAAATATGGTTTTTTATTATAGTTTTTATAGGTTCTACTTTTTCGTAATTTATATTTTTTTTTAGTTCTTTTAAAGGTTTTCTGAGGTATACAACCATATTGTGGCGGAAAGTCTAATTGCTTACATACATCAAAAAATTGTTTCTTAATTTGCTTAGACTCTCTACATTGTCTACACTCCTTTTTTAACATGTCATAGACATGGTTAACCTTATCTCCTATTGTTAATCTATCTCATCGAGGATTTTCTAACCATTTTTCCCAAATCTTAGTTCCTACACTTCCTGGTAATTTCTGAAGATATCTATCTAATAAGGTTAGATCTCTAGGTTTTCCTGTGGCGGAGAAATATTCAAAGAACTTATTCGTGTAGTCTCTTATGTATCGAAAATCGCAAATTTGTAATAACTCTAGATTACGTAAGGCTTCATTTTGTTTAACTTGAGTTTCTTCTAATAATCTGTCTTCACCTAATAATACCCTTTTGATTAAGCTAGTAAACTGTTGAATTGTAAAATTATCTTTTAAGATGTTGTAATCATTAACATAATTAACTTTATAAGATTGCCACCAATTTTGAATTGTGCCTCTTAATAGAGCTTCACAATAAGTTACGGCTTGGGTTTTATTATCAAATCTAGTTAGGATAACAGTTCTAATACTGTCTTGTTCTCAATTATCGATTACTCTTGATCAGTCTTGGGGATCATGTTGTGATATGTCTAATATGGTTCCTGCGTCATGTGATGGGATATTATCGTAGCGTTTACGATATGGTGTCCAAGTGTACATATCGGGTATATTTCTGTTTTCAACGTATGTTTCTTGTGTAGGTTGTAGTCTTTATCCCATGAGATATTCATCATTTGTTCTATTAGTACTACTCGTTGCATTATGCATTTCTTAGTCTACAGACCCTGTAGGTTGAGAGGTGGATTCTGCTGGTTATTTTCCTTCTCTATGCTCTACTTGTTTTTCGACATTAACATTTAGTTCTTCTTTTAGTGTGTTTAATTCATGTTTTGGGTAGAAAGATTCAAATCCAACTTTTAATATATTTCACTTAATATCATCATTATTTCCTTCGCTTAGATAAATGCTTTCTCAAGTTGATAATTTGGTTCAGGATATTTTTCGAGTAAATCTTTTAGTTCAATATTGTCAAAATCATGCATTATTTTATCTAAAATTTCGTCTTCCAATCGATCATAAAGAACATTTATTTCTTCAGGAGATTCTATTTCTATTAGTGTAGTTAAAAAGTCTTCTTGGGTATCATCGTCTAAATTATCCTGTCTTTTATATTTACTAAACCGTATACTAGCATCTCCACTATTTTTAATGTAGATCATATTACTTTCGGGAATCTTTTTAGTATTAGTATTAAGATTAGTTAATTTCCATTATGTTCCTTCATGGACAATACTACTTACTTTTCTAACTTTTATCATTTGAACATATTTACTACCAAAGGGCTTAACTAATTCACTGAATTGAGCTTTAAAGTTTAAATTATATTGATTAACTGCTTTTCCCATAAATAGAGTATTAATTAGTAGATTTTTGAATTGTCCTTTCATATTGTATCCTTTTATGGATATAGCTATCTTAATATGTTTACTGAATTATCTAGTATTCATCGTGTAGTTGGGAATACATTCTACAATAGCTGCATGATCTGCTAAATCTATTTCAGCGCTAGTTATTTGAGCTTGTTAATGGTTATTTCATCGATTATCATAAATATAAACAAGTGTTTTAGTTCCTATTTCACCTCTGGTTAATCCTACTTTACCTATCATTATGACACCTAAATGCATGAGTTCTAGATTATTATCATGTAATTCTTGACATGCTTCGGGTGTTATAAGATCTAAAATAACTTGATTGTCAACTACACTTATTTCTCTCTGGCTAAAATGATTATATATCTTACTCTGAAAGTCTAGTAAATTATTGGAATAAAGGTTAATTTTATTTTTTACCTTCTTCATACTTTTTTCTATATATTTTTTAGCATCATGTTCATTATCATATAAATCTTCTACTCTCATTTTCTCTTTGGCTTTTCTAAGAATAATGGCCATTGTGGTATCTTTCTATGGGGTTGTAATAAATTTACATGCTTGGTGGTTTCAGGTGGCGAGAACTGATTATTAGTTGTTAATTTTATCTCCTTTATTTTATCTGATAATACAGATAATTCTTTAGAAGACTCTCTAGGGGTACTTTCTTGTATTACCTCTAATTTTTCTTCAAGTTTATTAACTTTTTTAGACAACTGAAGTAATAACTGGATTAAAAAGCTATTTTGTCTAATATGGATATTGGTTAATTGGACGTCTGTTTTAAAACTGGTAAATCCTACTGGTTCTTTATCAATTTTATAAAGTTCGGATAAAGCTGTTAGATAATCAGGATTACTAGTGCTCATAAAACTATTGTAATAGCTTTGGATATCAGTTTTGATAGATTTTAAATAGTCTATAATTATTTTTTGACTTTCAGTAATACTTTTAATATCACTATTTATATTTTTAATTGCAACTAATATTATTTTAGTGTCTAAATTATTTGGACTAGATTATGTATTACTTGTTCTTTAATATAATCAAGATTTTCTCCTAGGCGTTTTATCGAATTATCTAAGTTATTAAGATCTATTCGATTCATAAACTTAAAATAGTTGTCTTCTAACTTCTAAAATATTCTGTATTCGAATAATTCTTGATCTAAGTTGGTCTATTTTTTGTTATAGACCACGCGTTGTGTTTCCTAATTCTTGGATTACGTAACAATTCCAAAGTGCTATTTGACAGAATTTTAAAACTTGTAAAAGTTCTTCTTTAGGTATATGGTGCATAAAATAAGATTAAGGGGTAAAAATATAATTTTATCTTACTAACGGATTAAACTAGAACTTAGTTTATGTATTTATAAATATACAAACTACATGTATGAGTAATATACTTTTGTTTCTACCACTGTAAATTTTCCCATTACAAATTCAACTCCCAAATTAAAATATCTTGTTGGGTCCACTGAAGTATCATTTCTATTGACCATCATACACGAAGGAAAGACTTGATTCCGGTTCATTCCCCCCCTCTTTCCTCTGTCTTTTCTCTTTATTATACACCTTTTTTCCCACACGTTCCATGTCCAATTTGTCAATTGTCGGTACTTATAAATGAATTGATTGCGAAAGGACTAGAGGTGGCGTTTGTGTTTGCCTCGTGCTAAATTATTTGTACTTGGTTATATGGGTAAATGACTTTGATTATTATTTAGGTTAAAAAATTTGACCAGTATAACTAGTTTTGAAAATTAGTGAAGACTTAACACGATAAATGATATATTTATTTGATACATTTAGTTAAATAGGTTATAAATTAATTAAGTGGTCAAATACAAATATAATATATTAATTATCGTATTAATTTGGATCGACACATATAATTACGATACGAACATAATTAAGTTAAACTCAAACCCAATTACTCGATATTGTATTCGAATTGTGTTAACTTATAGTGTCAAATATTACCACCTCATGCACAGACTCATGAAGGCCTTAGTGGGGCAGCTGCCCTCATTGAAATTATTTTATTTACAAAATTACTTTTAAATATAGTGAAAATTTTGACATTATCCCTACTTTTTACCACCTCATGCACAGACTCATGAAGGCCTTGGTGGGGCAGCTGCCCTCATTGAAATTATTTTATTTACAAAATTACTTTTAAATATAGTGAAAATTTTGACATTATCCCTACTTTTTAATAAAAATTTCAAGTATGTCTCTGCTCAATTTCTACTTATACCCTACTATATTTTATGTATTGTTATTTAAGACAGGCCACTCATACAATTTTCTGGGTCCTCACCGGGGTAGCCCCTAGAAGGACTAAGAACTATATAGATGATTACAAGTCTATACACTGATTAAAAGTCTATATATATATAGTATCGTACTTTTTGAACTACCATTCTTACACACATATTCACTGCGTATCTCAATGGGGTGGCCACTTGTGAAGTTACTGTTATGGGTTTTCATAGTTTTTGTTCAAAATCATGGACTGCAGGGTTGTCTTGAAGAGGAGAGGATTGGCTTGCTTCAAGTCAAGGCCTTCTTCATGACTCTCAACAGTGGTGATGATGATCATACAAGCCATGATTTGCTTCTTCCTTCATGGGTTGATGACAAAGAAAGCGAATGCTGTGATTGGGAGAGAGTTGCTTGCAACCACACTACAAGCAGAGTGGTGGAGCTCACTCTCGATAATCTAAAGCAATACCAGTTTTTGATTTTCAGTCTTACTGTCTAAACATCTCTTTATTTAAACCTTTTGAAGAGCTACTGAGTCTTGACTTATCTGGGAATAGTTTTGATTGTTGCGTTGAGAATGAAGGTAATTTAAGTTTTCGTACTTATGCAATCCTTTTCCATTTCATTTTTTTTTCTTTTCTAAATCTTAAATCAAAGCCTTCCATTATTTCAAATAATCCGCATATTTTTCAATTTTTCAATATTTTGTTATTTCACTTAGGTCGAACATGATATATGTGTTTGAGGGTTAAACTCTCAACTTCTCCTTTGGGGGACAGGTAGAGAAGAAAAAGAGAGAATCTCAAATAGGCTAGTGGCTCAATGATATACTCCCTCTGTTCTCCAAAATAGATGTACATTTTGAGAACTGTGACATTTTGTATTCATTTTTATAGCTTGAAACCTTAATGAAATTTTTTTAAAATTAGAAACCTTAATGAAAGTTTTATGGGGGCTCGTTGAGTCGTTGTGAGGTCCACGAGACCCTCACTTGTTCGGCTTTTAAAAGTATAGAAATGATAATAATTTTCTTCAATTCCATTTTCAAATCACCAATTCTAAGTTTCCGAATATCACAATAGCGATAACTTAGAATTATACAAAAGCATAGAGATTTTGTTTTTCATTTGATGTGATTATTATCTCTTTGCAGGTTTTGAAAGGTCTTTGAACTTGGAGAGGTTGGAGATCTTAAATGTTGCTCGAAATAGCTTCAATAACAGCATCCTAAAACCTTTGGGTTTACTCTCGTCACTGAAAACTTTGAATGTCAGTGAAAATGGGTTGGAAGGACCTCTTCCTGTTCGAGGCATGTTCTGCTCACATAATTTATTAGGAGCATCCAATATCCAATAACCATTTTTTTTTTTTTTTCTTTTTTCTGTTTTTTTGGGTGTAATTTCTATTCAATTTTCTTTACTCTTCCTGTTTCAATTAATTTAACTTGGCAGATTTATCAACTCTGAGGAAATTGGAGAAGTTGGATCTAAGCCGCAACATGTTGAATGCCTCCCTTCCAGTGCAGGGTAAAAAGCTTGGATACCTATTTATAATTTTCTTTTCTTGTTGAAGATTCGAGAGTTGTCTCCTATAATTTTTGCCATTTAGAGTGGCTTCCAGTGATCAATTATGCTTTAACCTCTGCTCTTGTGGACAAACCTTTAGAATGTTTTTTTTTAAAGGTAGGAAGTAAACAGGACATGCCTTGAGAACTTTGTTGAATAATTGAAACCCTAAAAATCTTCAGAACTCATAAGCACAACTGACCATTTGAATGTTATTGAAAGAAAAACATGACCAGTACTATAACGTACATAATTATACAGGTGAAGATGTACATAATTATACTGATACTACTCAATCTAATGCTTGAAGATATTTTCTTCTCAAACCTCTCCGAACATTTTCATTTTCATTTCCCATTCCATTTTGACCCCTGGTCTCAAACCTCTTGGAACATGTTTATGGTACAAATTTTAGTTTTTGGTACCACGGCCAGCATGATGCTAAAATAAGCCAAATCATATCATTTTTAATCATGTCCTCAATTCTTCTCAGATTACAAAACCTTGTCAAAGTTGAGCAAGCTAGAGCACCTGGATCTAGCATTCAACCATTTCAGCAAAGACATTCTAAAGTCTTTGGGTAATCTCCCAGTTCTTAAATTTCTATCAATGGAGTTCAATCAAATGGAAGGACCACTTTCCAACAAGGGTATGTTTATTCCAACTTTCTTTTCATGTTCTGATAAATATTTCTGAATTGGTGCCTTGCAACTTTCAGGGTTGGGTAAAATTCCAAATGTTTATTCCTTTCTCTTTCACTTATTGGCACTAAATTATGTGTTCTCAAACTAAATATTAGCTTTGGATAACGTATGTATTCTGTATCACACTTTGCTGCAGAATTAGCAAACCTTCACAAGTTAGAGGCCCTAATTTTGAGTAACAATCAATTAAGTGGCACACTACCAATCCAAGGTAAACAAGAATCTTCCTTCTAGTTTATTTGTTGAGAGGATAATTTATTACGGAAATAGGTTTATATTTGCTTGTTCTACAGAAAGATAACAGGTTACACCATTTTCAGGACTTTTCTTAACACTGTATCTACATTGTTCATTTGGTAGATTTCATTTCATTCAAGAACTTGGAGGTTCTAGATCTGAGCATTAATAGCTTCACTGGAAACATTCCCCCACAAATAGGGGCCTTGACTTCTCTCAAGGCTTTGTCTTTGGCGTATAATAATTTCACCAACACATTGCCTATTCGAGGTAAAACTAAAACACTGCATTTGTTCTTTGCTGTTATAGTAGTATCTTCATTAGGTATTTGTCGAATCTTCTTTTTCCGACCACCTTTATCAAATCATTGTGAGACAAGACAAAAATTATAGCTTCATGTTTTCTTCTTTTGCAGGTTTGTGTGAACTAAGGAACCTTCAAGAGTTGGATCTTAGTGTAAACACATTGGATGGAATCCTTCCTCCATGTTTGAGCCATTTGAGATCCCTTAGAGTGTTAGATCTTTCTCAAAATCAATTCACAGGAGACATTTCTTTTATAATATCAAACCTCACATCTCTAGAATTCATCAATCTCAACAATAATCGTTTTGAGGGTTTATTCTCATTCAGCTCGTTAGCTAATCATTCCAAGCTTGAGTTCGTTGAATTAATGGGAGCCAGAAACAAAATGGAAGTGGAAACTGATCATTACTCAACTTGGACTCCCAAATTTCAGTTGAAAGTCCTTGTGTTGTCAAACTGCAACCTCAATAAGCTCACTGGTGAAATACCCAAGTTTCTCTTGCACCAATTCAAATTAAGAATAGTTGATCTCTCCCATAACAACTTGAAAGGAGTATTCCCATATTGGTTGCTTAATAACAATGCACGACTTGAAGTGCTGAATCTGAGGAACAACTCTCTCACCGGTCAATTTGATCTGCCACCACGCCTTAACATGAGTTTTTATTGGATGGATGTCTCAGCCAATCACTTTCACGGGCAACTTCAAGAAAAGATTGCAAGAAGGCTTCCATACATTTCATATCTAAATTTATCCAGAAATTCTTTCCAAGGTATTCTTCCATTATCACTTTGCAACATGAGTAACTTACAGATATTGGATTTGTCCGTTAACATGTTCTCTGGAGAAGTACCAAAGGAACTCATTTCTGGTTGCATCAATTTGTTTGTTCTGAATTTATCGAGAAATAAATTTCATGGCCAAATACTCTCAACACACTTCAATTTGACTGGCCTAATGGTTCTGCAATTGAATGACAACAATTTTTCAGGAACTTTATCCAACACAATTTCGGATAGCTCTCTGATTGTGTTGGACATTAGCAACAATTATTTCTCAGGTGTGATTTCTAGCTGGATAAGTAATATGACAAATTTGTTTACAGTCATCATGCGAAATAATTCTTTCAAAGGCCAGTTGCCATGTGAACTAGCTGTATATGGGGTTTTGGATGTCTCTCAGAACTCTCTTTCAGGATCATTACCTTCTTGCTCAAACCCACCAGAGCACATTTATTTTCAGGCAAACAAATTCACAGGACCTATACCAAATGCTTTTGTTAATTCCTCATATCTGTTCACTTTGGATATTAGAGATAACAACTTATCTGGCAATATTCCTAATGGGATTAGTTCACTCTCCGGCTTAAGAATACTTCTGTTGAGGGGAAACCATTTGAACGGTTTAATTCCAAATCAATTGTGTAAGTTGAATAAGATAGCCCTCATGGATCTTTCCTACAATTCTTTTTCTGGATCAATACCTCGTTGCATCAATAATATCTCTTTTGGAAAGATAGGTCCAGATGACCGCGTGTTTAAACAGGGCGATTATCTTACATGGAATAAGCATACAATTGGTAGGTATGGAAGTCTCTTGGTGAGAACATTGAAAACAGACTTTGCGGATGATGTCTATAATGTACCAGCTGAAGCCGAGTTTGTTACAAAAAGAAGGGCTAGCTCCTACAAGGGTGATATCCTAAACTTCATGTCAGGATTGGATTTGTCATGCAACAACCTAACAGGTGAAATCCCACAAGAGCTAGGAGAGCTAGTTTGGATTCATTCATTGAACTTGTCTCACAACCAGTTAAAAGGAAATATCCCGAGAACATTCTCTAACCTGACTCAAATAGAGAGCTTGGACCTTTCTTACAATAAGTTGAGGGGAGTGATCCCTATAGAGCTGATTGATCTCAATTTTCTGGCAGTCTTCTCTGTAGCTTACAACAATTTATCAGGTAAAATTCCTGACAGGAAAGCACAATTTGGGACATTTGATGAGAGCAGCTATGAAGGAAATCCTTATCTTTGTGGACCACCACTACATAAAAACTGTACCACCATTATTCAGCCTCCAAACTCACCAACAACCTTTTCAGAAGAAAAATGGTATGAAATCGACCGAGAGGCTTTTTATGTTACATTTTCCGTGTCGTACATTATGTTCTTATTGGCGTTGGCTTCTGTTCTGGCTATCAATCCGTATTGGCGAAGAAGGTGGTTCAATGCCATTGAGGATCATATGTATTCGTGCTATTATTTTTTTTTGGATGCTTTCTACAAGCTATTGGGTCATTAGTAAGTTAGTTACTGTTTGATTATGTAGACATAATACATCAGTCAAATGTAATAATGCTAATAACTAGCTTTATGCAAACTCATGTTGATTGAGCGATTAGTTCAAATTTGAAGATCTATCATTATCTATTCCTAGTAAAAATTGTTTGGCATTTGACATTACATGATTATTGAACTTTTGTTCATTTTAGGATTTGGGATAATTTAGCAAAAGAACAATTTTGAATTCTTTAGTCAGAACTCTGAAGATAACTGTTGAAGAGAATATCAGTGTGACTTGGAGTGACGACGTTTACGTGCAAAATAATGGAAATTAGCGTCACTTCGGATGGCACTGGTGGGGTGTCGGCCGAAGACCACGATCAAGTCAGTGTTGCTTGTATAATAGAAAAGTTAATTATGTATTAAATGTCTAAGAGTTTTTTATTCTCATACCTTATTCAATGGCTCTCTATCGTATTTAAGGTTGCCTCGAGATCCAGTCGGTTGCGAGGATGTCAATTAAGAAGATTTGGTTTATCTTCCGTAATAGATCTCTCCTATTTCTCGCAACTGAATGATAATAGTCTCCTGATTAGAGTATGTTGTTCTTATCCCCTTTTGCATGAAAAGAGAGTCGAAGGGAACTAATTGGTCAAGACGGCTGGTCAAACTCAAGGTTACTTTTCCCCCATCAGTTGCCCCCTATTTCCTTGTTCGGAACGGACTAGGAAATATTTTTTCTTTTTTTACCCCAGGCACTATTCCAGAGGTGAACAGTTCGACCTCGGGTACTATTCCCGAGGTGAATAGAAACTTTTTTTTAAAAAAAAACCCAAGCACTATTCCTAAGGTGAACAAATCTAACTCGGGTACTATTCCCAAGGTGAATAGTAACTCTCTTTTTGTACCTCAAGCATTATTCCTAAACAATTCTTCCTCGGGTACTATTCCTAAGGTGAGCAGTAACTTTTTTTTTTTTTTTTTTTTTATTTTGTTTAACCTCGGGCATTATTCTCGAGGTGAATAGTTCTACCTCATGTACTATTCTCGAGGTGAACATTATTATTTATTTATTATTATTTTTTAAGGTCTTAAGTGACCATACATTGATCTTGGAATGTGAGACCGTTTGCATGCCTTGGCAATTAGGCATTGAACTTGGATGACTAGACCTTTTTAGGGGGCCCTGTTCTTGATGACCAGGCCTTGGAGTGTGTAACAACTCTAAACTGATGCCAATTAAAAAAAAAAATTCGGCATGACCTCTGCTAAAAAGGGTCCTACGCCAACCTACTTTAATAAAAAAAAAAAAAAATGTAATGGCCTCTTTTGGACCTTCAAAATTTATCTAACCTATACCAGCACACAATGCAAATAATATAAAACATTCCCAAAATAACAACATCAACAACCTCCTCAAAATAGCCCATCACCATCAACCCATTCATCCAGAATAAAGGAGTACTTGTCTTATACATAGTCCCATGCTCACATACTAGAATTTTTCTCCAATTACATCTACTTACAGTCCATGAATATAATTACAATAACAAGAGTCCATAAGTCTCCAAACATAATACAATATACTAAGTTTTACAAAAATAGTGAGATTTAGATACAAAAATAGCAAAATGATCTTCTAATCTAAATTAGGCATGTGGTGGAACGTCATCCGCCACTTCTTTCCATGTCCTGAAAAATGTTAAAATAATAGGGCGAGCATAAAACTCAGTAGGTGGTGCCTAAGACACACCTCTTGTGACCCCGTGAATCCAAACAATGAATAAGGCAATAGGGAGCGGGGTCATGCTAAGCCGGGAAAAATACAATATCAATTTCAAGTTCAAAACAAGCAAACGTCATGCCATGAATGTAATGCCATGTGTGTCACTCCCCATTTTCAGAAATATCCATCGTTTTTCAAACTGTTAATATAACACATCCGTTCGTGACTCTATGGCGAACACGAGAGAAGGATTGGCTACTGTCCCTGACTGTTGGTACCTTCGCGGTGTCATTTGGGGTTCAGATAGCTCAAACATGTTAGGGCGATCTTCCTAGTTCCTTCTAGGTTATATTAACACTATGGCCCTTTGGTAGCTCCGCGGTGACCAGGTTTTCATAAAAATCACTTTAATCAAAACTTTGTCCCAAAATCCTTTTTTCCTTTCAAAACAATTTTCCCCTTTTCATGCCCAATGCTATGCATGAATGTCTCATATATCTCAATGTTGTACAAATAGAAAAATTCATGCTCATCAAGTTGTTATTCAATAATATACATGCTTTACAACATAAAAATTTCTAAAATTATATTTCATGTTTTCTAATCACCAAACTAGCATTAAAGACACAAAGGGATTAAATTAATCGACAATTAACATGCTTCATAAGAAATTTATTTATTTATTTATTTATTATTATTATTATTTTTATAATTCATGTTTTATCATCACATAAACATAACAATTTAATACCATGGGCATGAAAATTCATCAATTAAGTATGCTTTCATTATCATATATCACATAAAACATAGCCACACCTTTTCACATAGCAAGTAAATAAATTTATATAAAATTTCACAATTTAAGCATGCTAAAACACAATTTTTTTTGAAGTTAACTCACAAAAGCCCAAGAATATATGGATTAGAGACCCCTACCTCTTAATTGAAGCAAAGTCCTAAAATTTCCAAATTAATGCCCTAGATCTCGAAATTCCCAAGTGCACCAAACTAAGAATTGCTCCAATCAACTCGTAGATCTCGGCGTGATCTTCAATTTGCCGCAAATGGTATAAAAAATTTCCAAGCAATGAAGGAGCAATCAAAGTTTGAAGTTTTTATGTGAAAAAGAAAAGAAAAAGCAAGAAGAAGAGAGAGAGAGATGGTGACAGGAGGAAGAGAGAAAATGAGACCAAAAAATGTGGTCTCATAACTTAAGATGATCAAATGGTGGGTCCCACCTATTTTTTATTAAAAAAAAATTTCTTTTGTTTTCATTTTACACCACATATTCATATACACACATTAAATAATTTTTATCACCTTATATAACACATTAAATAAAATAAATATAATGCAAATGGACCCAATTAAAATCCCCGTGCACTACAATTCTAGTAACAGGTCCCACACAGGACCGTTCGGCCCGAAAAGGGGAAAAATGCGAAAATGACCACCCTTACATTTCAAAAAGTCTTGGACTGAATGAAATGTCCCAAACAACTCTCAGACACAACTGGCACACTCCACAGTGTCTGGTACGAAAAATGACAAAAGACGAAAATGCCCTTGTTGCGACAAAATTTCCTGAAAAATGAAAATGGCGAAAATTTGGAAACATCACAGAGTGAACGAGACCTTTCTCTTGGAAATCCAATTATTGTGCACTGTTGGGTCATTCCCTTCGAGTAATGCGCTTGCCCAGTGTAATACCCCTAATTGGGGTATCACACCTAGTGGTTATATTCCTTACTAACCTTAGGTTTGGGAAACACTATCTTTTTTGGAGTTTTATCTTGGTTTATTGGATTAATATGGTCTCGTCCCTTTAATAAGGGGAGTAGTTATTCTTGCTCCTTTGATGAGAGGTTCGTAATAGGTTTAAGCTTCACTTAGCTCGCCCCGCCTCGTTGATAAGGGAAATAATAATTTCGAGCTTCAGCCAGCTCGCCATTTTAATAAAAGGTTTAATTTTTTCGAGCTTCACTCAGCTAGTCCTTTTAATAAAAGGGTTAACTTTTACGAGCTTCACCTAGCTCGCCCTTTAATAAGGGGATGTTATGCCTGAGCTTTATAAGCTTCCCCTTTAATAAAGGAATAGGCCTTTCTAAGCTTCGTGAGCTCGCCCTTTAATAAAGGAGTTATTGTGACAAAATCTTTGTCATCTTCCTTGGAGCAAAGAAAAATTCCAATTCATTTATGAATATTATGTTCTTGACATGGGCGTGAACTTCTATTGTCTTTGAGTTTTTATTCATACTCTTAGACGGGGTTAACCGTATCTCTTTCTATAGTCAACTGACACTGCCTGGTCGAATGTCCTTATAAGATTATAGTGTGTCCCCACATTGGCTCTCTTCTGAGATACCTGTATGGGTTCTCCTATTAACGAGCTCAGTGTTCTGATTTCTCTTGACCTCGAGGCTTTAGATCTTCTACCTGAGTTTGAGACTAGGCTGGGCTCTACCCAACATGACGTGGCTAAGACCCACCAGACTTGATGTGGATGACACCAGGCTTGGTGCCTGGTGGTCAAGAGTCTCCTTAGACGTAGGGACCGCCCTAGACTAAGTGACCTCTGTCATTGTAGAAACTTCATGGATATAGAGTTTTTCCTGGCATATGGAGAATTATTAGTGTGAAAATAGAGTTACACAGGGTGCGGAAATTGTTAATTGATTTTAATTGTGATTAACTCTTTTAATGACCTAAATTTGATTATTAGGTTAACTTGCTCAATTTATGATTGATTAAATTATATGATCAATTTATCATCCACAATTATAAATATAAATACTGAAAAATAAAGCAAGTAAAAGTTAGAGAGATTGCATTAGGATTTTTAGCGAGGAAACCCCAATTGATAAAATACGTCAACTGTTTGCATGGGAAAAAACCTCGTGGACTATGTAGTCCAAAGTAAACCGATCCACTATGTTTGAAACAAAGTACACTGAACTTTGACTCTGGCTCACACCCTATCATTATACCAAACAACAATTGTCCGAACAACAATTGTCCGAACTTCACATACCAAGTGGCTGCGAGATTGCACCAATGAGAAGGCCATTTTTTGACTTGTTTAGCACTCGTAGGAGCTTGTATATAAACTAAATTGAACCATTTGTTTAGGGTTCCACAAATTGTTAGCTAATTTTACATAGAGATCATTTTTAGACATAAAAATTCTTTCTCTAGAATTAGGGTTCTTGGGAAGAAAAGAGGAGTGGGGAGGCACTAAGAACACATCTCAAGATCTACATACTCTCTCTTTATAATTTAACAAAGAGGAAGAGGAAGAAGATGGAGCCATGTTTGGGGATAGCCCTTAAGGGTTCCAAGATCACATCCACCTCCTCCATGATTGGCAGGACTGCTTTTTGGGGCTTGGATAAGCCCTAAGTTAGTAATCTAAACTCTTCTCTTTCACTTTT